TTGGGATACAACATATTGATAGTGAAACGAAATGCTTAATGACATAGCAAAGAGTTCTATAATACTGATAACGATAGTTTTAAACAAGGAACAAGATTACGATCGTTTTAAGAGGATGTCTCAAAACCAACGTTACATTGAAATCATAGCTCTTATCACGGTGCCAACGATCCTCGCCACTTTTAATTCATCTAGGAGAATGGTCAAGTGATATTCGTTGGCAAAAGCTGGCGAAACAGAATAAGAGAAAATAAAGGGAATGGTCGTCTAGCTCTGAGTCTCGTCTGGTCTCGTTAGCCGGCACAAAGGTTGGCATTCTGTTCCTTATTTATTTCCGGCATTCTGTGCCTCCTTTATTTCATATTTCCGGGGCATAACTTAAATCTGCTCGCAATAAAACGTGGCCGAATTCAAACGAATTCCCCGACGTTCACTCGGGCCCTGGAATGCGGATCGCGTTTCTTACACAGTCCCTGAGGACAAAAGAGGGACGCGTTTAAACATTTTTCAACACGACGCAATTGCGTGCGGAACATACACAGTTTCTCGTCAAATTTAACCCTATCTTCATTTTATAAACTCTGTTCAGTCATTTAAATCTGCTATTCATGATTATTAAAATGACAATAAAAATTATCCTCATTATTAAAATGCATTAATTTTATTTTCCATATCAAAACGTCCTGTTTGGTTAATTATCTAAAAACGGAGACTTAATCGTCGACTATTTTGGCCTGGTGACCAAAAGCGACTGCTCTTTGGACAAAGGAAACGGTCGGAGGGAGACTGATTTACTATCGCGCATAATTTTCGTCCTGGCATTAAATTAATATTTCCCGGCTTTTGTTCAGCTGTCCCTACATAACCACCGCGAAGAAAAGAGTCTTGATGAATGCGGTTCCTTTTGCAGATCCTGTTCAACCACCAAGGTACCGTTGGCGTTCCATTCCTACGGTCGACTCCGACGTTTCCTCGCAAGGCGACGTAATAATACCGTAGAAAAAGCCCTTTTGAAAAACTACGCGAATTCCTTGCTCCCGTTCGCGTCAAACGTTGTCGGTGTTGCTCGCGGAAAACATTCTTCTGACAAATTAAATTAGCGAACGCGTTCCATCGTTGAACAATGCGCATAATTAAAATGAAACGTTGCCCTCACGTTCTTACGTTCCACGTGCAATCCTTCTATTTTACATAGAGAAATAATTATCAGAATTGGCACGAGCTGCATTGAAAATTCCATTTTCTCATGGGAACGAACCTATGCAATTTTGTTCCGTGCTTAGAACTAGTTTTCATTATTCATACGAAAGAATTCTGCTTCGTCGCAAGACGAATCGAGATAAAACTTTTTATCACGTGCTCAACCGTAACGAGAGTCTCGCCAAGAAAATGTTCTCCATTATTTTTTTTTTTATTTTTTTTTTTAAAACTCGTTAAATCGACGCTTACAACGGCTGCGACGGCCTGTATTATAAACTGGAGAGTCCTCCTCGGCCAGTTGTTTCACAAGTAATATCGATTTTCCATCGAGAAAAAGTATAGTCCTCGCCTTTCAGATCCGACGACCTCGTTATCGCCGCTCACTCCTAGGCGAGTCTGAACTTGGCCAAATTCAAATCGAATTCCCTATTCCCAGTTTTGACGGCTCGACCGATTTCCCGGCCAAATACAATCGTTTGCGTCTTTCACGGCGATAAGATTTTCAGGCCGGCCTGTTTGATGCTCGAAAACGATGTTCCACCGTCCGTGTTTATGCTCCTCCTTTGAACCGTATTTCATACGCTCTGCATTCCTTCTGCGAAGCGCGAATCTCAAAGAACAATTCTTCTCCTATCTACATATATTTGTAAGAAATATTTTAAGCTCTTATCGTAGCATTTTTCATTCCGAGTCATTTCTGAATAGTTCAAACTGCTTCGAATAAAAGAAGGCAATAATTTCAGTGAACAATAAGCATTTCTTAAGGTAGTTATAGTAGTATAGGTAGTCATATAAAAGTAGTCAATTTTGATTAAGCATAATTCAGAAACTATGTAGTAAAATGCATTGAAACTTCGCAGAAGTATCTATCAGGTGCTTCATTAATTTTG